ACAGGGTCTATAGGGCTACATCTATTTTTGTGGTTTGCTGATACATTGGGTTGTTATGCAACATGGAATCTCGGTTAGTTGATGAAAATGATGCTATGGAAGTTTCTGGGGATGTGGGTTTGAGTACGTATGAAGTTCAGGTACACCAAGAAACTTACGAAGGTATGCTACTGTAATCATATGATTTTGATATGGAATTCTGAATGAATAAAAATGATGCATGTCTTAAATATAAAGTCCTGCATCCTGTTTATGACTTTAACCAGGTTTCTGGATTAACTAACAAACAATTGATGGAGAAGGTTTCCGACTTTTAAGGTAGTAAACCTGAGATCTTGCACCTTTCCCCTTGGAGTGGGCAAAAGACACCTGTTTAATAAAAGAGTGTACCCAGTGTCCATTCCTTAATATCCGTTTTACTAACTCAAATAATACTTGTTGAAAGTCCCACATCGCCTACCTCATATCATTTGGTATGGTTTAAATACATGTTAGGCTACTCCACATATTGCCAATTGGTTTTATGTTGGAACCTTAACATGGTATAAGAGTCAAAGCCTAACATCTTTCCGGTAAGTTGCCCTTTAGTTGGGTCAAAAGTACCCTTTGCCTGGTCCGGCAGGCTTCGTTGGAGGGGGTGTGTTGAAAGTCCCACATCGCCTACCTCATATCATTTGGTATGGTTTAAATACAAGTTAGGCTACTCCACATATTGCCAATTGGTTTTATGTTGGAACCTTAACAATACTATTTGATTATGGTACTCTTCTAACATAGTCTCCACTTTTCAACTTTCTAATATTGTTTCTTAACATAAAGAAGTCAAAAAAGTATAAAGTATGTGATGTAGAGTTTAGGTGGGAAAGATGAAAGAAACAGAAAGAAGGAGAAAGAAAAGGAGAAGAAAGAACAAAACAGAGTAGGGAAGTTTCAGGGAAAGAGGATAGAACAGAAATAAATATCAAAGATATGTGCACTGCACTTCTGTCATTAACTTTAAATCTAGATTCAGCTGTCTAGAATACAACAATTATTTATAGGATGCTATCGAACAGCTATGAACTAACAATAGCTTACTAACTAACTAACTAACATCCTTGTCTAATTTATATTTACATATCACCATGATATGTGGAAAGTAAATTAATACACATGAATCAGAGAGAGTTTGTATCAGCAATTACTTACCCTTTAAACCCCACTTTAAAATAGTGATGGAATTATCCTTCCAATTTACAGTTTGTTCCATGTTATTAGTTAGTTAATTATTTCTCTGTTGATTGTTCTGGTGTCTAAATATTATATCTTTACAATAGGTCTGAATTTGATGTAGTTAATTATTCAATATCATAGCTTAGTCCTACAACCCCTCCTAAATGCCTTAAATTCTGTGCTTAATCCATACCCTCCTCCCTAAACAAGAAATATTCCCTGAACAAACACCCACACCCTCTCGTAACCTCATTCAAGGACCATTACACAAACCCTAAGAAACTAGTTTTATGTTATTCTGTTTGGAAGAAACTTATGACTGAGAGATACACTGCATGGGATTCACATGGGTGGCAGTAATTGCTTGGATGGCATCCTTCCACTGGACTCCTTTATTTTTTTTATTTTTTCTCTTTTTATTGGGCATGGGGAAATGAAAAAACCAGGATAAAATTTATGCCTATCGGTGTGTGGGTATTCATATGACAGGTAAGGGTTCTATGTAGGGAGAATTGAGTCAAATCTCAATTGACATATAGGCCTTCTGGTTACCTTCTTTATTGACATTTCATTCTTAGTAAATGACAGAAGTGTTAACACTTCTTCTTTATTTGGTCTCATTATGAGGAAATATTTTTATTGGTTTAAGAGATTTACTTTTGTGACAGTGGATCCAAATGAGGGGTGTAGAGTACTAGAGAGTTCTTCTGGGGGAGAGTTGGGTATCTGTGATGATGATCACGCTATTCAGGAACCATATGAAGGCATGGAGTTTGAATCTGAAGATGCTGCTAAGATATTCTATGATGAATATGCCCGACATTTAGGATTTGTCATGCGTGTTATGTCATGCAGACGCTCAGAAAGGGATGGTAGGATTCTTGCTCGCAGGCTTGGATGTAATAAAGAGGGTTATTGTGTCAGCATCCGAGGGAAATTTTCATCAGTTCGTAAACCTCGGGCCAGCACAAGGGAAGGCTGTAAGGCAATGATTCATATCAAATATGAGAAGTCTGGCAAATGGGTAATAACTAAGTTTGTGAAGGATCATAATCATCCATTAGTAGTCTCTCCACGTGAAGCACGACAAACAATGGTAGGTTCATATTTCTTATCTATCTGTGAACTCCGTTGTTGACAAATCTATTACTAATTTTGACTCTGATCATTAGTCTTATGCAGTTATCCTTTCTTATTTGTGTATTTTTTCTAGTGGTTGAGCTAGTTTTTCAGAATGGAAAGATTTAAATGCCAAAAGGGTGTGTTTGGGTTATAGTTCAGTTGAGGGTATCACTTATTTTCCATCCGGCAGTGCTATTACTTCTTTTTTTTGTGTCACAGTAGCCTGCTAGAAATCCCTCACTTTTTAATCGTTAGTGAGGGTATTTTGGGGTCTTCAGAATGTAATGCTATTATTATCTTCTGAAAAAGCTTCTCCCACATGAGGGTATTTTGGTTACATTAGTTATTTTTAGTAATGATGTCTGCTCAAAATTGATCCTCTCTGTTATTGCTTTGTTCTACCTTTTAAGGCATATATGTTAGTGGGATAATGGATGTATTTGGTATAACAGGAAAATAGTATTTTTTTGGGATATTTTATACAGAAGCCTTGTTTTCTGAATTCAAAATGATGTTTACTAACATTTCCGTATCGTTTTCTATTGTTTTCTTGAATCAGGATGAGAAGGATAAGAAAATTCAGGAATTAACAGCAGAGCTTCGGCATAAAAAACGGTTGTGTGCAACATATGAAGAACAGCTGACTTCCTTTATGAAGGTTGTTGAAGAGCACAGTGAGAAGCTATCTACAAAAATTCATCTTGTAGTTAATAATCTTAAAGAATTTGAATCCATAGACGAGCTTTTGCACCAAACATAGCCGTCAATCATGTGAGTATAAACTCTTCATATTTAGCATTTGCATACTCCATCACAATATATCATACTGTGAAAAAACAATTTTCTCCCAGATATCTGATGAAGTTGGTCTTGCATAATTTAAATGCCGTTTGGGAAGTAGATCTCCATTTCATAATACTGAGTTATGTATTGATTTAATGTATGTATATACTCGGTACACCGATAATTAATAATACCCTTATCCTTCTACACTTCAATATTTCCATATCTCTTGTCTAACCATTTGTATATGCATATGGGCAAACCAGGCCCCTTATTTTACTAAAATATAAAATCTTGGTTATATATCTTGAAGATTTATATCTTAAAAAGGTGAAAAACTTCTGAACATTACGTTTTTAAGGTACATAATTCTATTATTTTCCTGTATCTTCTGCATGCAATTTTATGGTTAGACCTATAATCAATTTATGTTAACGTAACCATTTCAGTTATATGAGTCAATCATTCACTGATTGGATTGCGTCAAGGTTTATGATGTCAGGCATTTGTAAAATTGTAATGACTATTAGTCTAGCTTCTACTTCTTATTTTTATTACTGTCATGACATGAGATTCATGCAGATTGTAATCATCCTTAGGATTCCTTGTTATGCATATGCAGGTTGCGCTTGAACCACTAAACTGTTGTGCCATGTTCAAAGAATGATAAAGAATGATCCTTTAGTCCTTCGTGAATTTCAGAATCTGCTTCAGTGAATACTTTGGTTAGGCAAGGCTAGCCTATTTTTTTGGGGAACTGGCAAGGCCAGTCTTGCCACAAAGAGAAGGCCACCATATAATGTGAAATTTTATAGCGTGTCATAGTGCCTTGGAAGCTAAGAGGATTTGTAACAATTTACCTTTAACGCAGAAACTAGTGGCATCCCTTAAAGCCTCAGGTACTTTTGTATAATTTCTTTACTCCCCTGATATTACAGAAGAAAATGTAAACAATAATACTGTGACTTACAATGTGCTGGAATGCTTTTTCACGTGAGAAACTACTGTGTCAAGTAATCCATTTTCTTTGTAAATATTGTCAATATTTAGGACAATTTTTAAATGATAATGAATTTTAAGTGTTTCATTGTTTGGTAACTTAATGCAGATTGTTTTTCACAAAACAAGTTGGTTAGCCATATTGATTTGATAAATAATTAAATTATATCTTATTCAAGAAACCGCTCATAAAATATAAAGATTGATTGTCTTCATTTTCTTGGGTAAAACGTTTGAGTTTAAGAATACAGAGCTTTAAAGTTGTGATTTTTATATATCTTTAATATTATTAAAATGTTTTTAAGATTAATTACTAATGTCACTATTAACTTTGTTTGATATAATGTATTCATGATATTTCGAATAAATAAGTTAAATTAATTTTTTACTAATCTGAGAGGGTAAATAAGCCATATTTAGCATATTTCACATTCCCTATTTATTTTTATTTTTTTTAAACTTATCAACTAAAATGGTCTAGTTTGATTCATAACGACTGATTTATTTTGAGCTCAACTAACTAAGGTTTTATACAACAAAAAAAACAAGATATAAAAAATAATGTTTTTTGTAAGTTAAAATTAGCTTTCAAAAGTTTCTGTACTGGATATCTTTCAAAACATATTTCAATTTATATCCAAATTAATCAAAACCAATAAATATCTCTATTCATCTTTAGAGACATTGAAGTTAAGAAATACTAGAGTAATGGAAAAGCATACTTGTACTTAGCAAGACACAAATCAACTTTGATTTTACATAATTTTGCAGAAATTTGAAGAGAATTGTGCTGTAATTTAAACAAAGTTATGCAGAATTTTGCTTAGTGGTGCAATATATTGTATGATTTTAGCACAACCAAATTCCTTTTGGGGCACATCTCCATGTCAAGATCAAACCAACCCAACACGCCGTTCCTCGAACAATGGCTAATCGTCAGCTCTGGCATCACCCCTGCCACCACCGCTAAAACCACCGCACGAACCATCGTTCAAGCATGGACCACCCTCCGGGATTCTCTCCAATCCTCTTCACCCCAAAACCACCAACAATTGCACCAAACCCTTCAAACCCTAGTCAATTCCCAAGCCTCCCTCCACGTGGCAGAACCCCAAGCCAAGCTCCTTCTCACCCTTCTGCAATCCCCCACCTCACGCCACTCCTTCCCCCTCATCCTCACACTCCTCTACGTCTGGGTCCGAAAATTTCCCAACCCAAATCCCACAATCATCAATTCCGCACTCAAAATCCTCTCTTTAACTATCTCCGATGATGCCCTTTTCCCCGAAAGTTTGCTCCTTTTGGGCGCTTTCTCATCCGCGCCTTCCGTTTCCGAGAAAACCAAGACGGTTTGTTTGGACTTGATGATGAAACTGTTGGTGGGGCAGAGCAAGGATAAACTGTGTTCTGAAATGCCGCGTGTTCTTGCCGGAATTGGTTACGCTTTGTCGTCTTCCACAACTGTTTATTGTGTGGAGATGTTGGGTTTGCTGTTTGGCATTTGGGGGAAGGGAGAGGGGTGTGTTGCACACGGACTCATGGTTCTTTATCTGTTTGATTGGGTTGTGGAGAATTTGATTCGTGTTGGGTATTCGGATAAGATGGGTGTTTTGGTTCGAGAAGGTTTCGGGAGGTTTAAGGAGGAGCATGCTTCGTTTGCGGTTTTCATGGCTGCGGTTGGAGTGTTGCGGGCTTTCGAGAGACAAAGAGTGGGAGCTGACCTTGTTTCTGGAATGGGGGCGAAGGATTGTGTGGTTGGTAGGATTGAAAGTTTGGTTAGTGATTTGGTTACGAGGAGGTTGAGGTTTGGTTATGGTGATGATAATGAGGGCGATGGTGTAGAGGAAGATAGGCTTTTGCTTCGGTGTGTGTCGTTGGGATTGGTTCGGACTGTGGCGTTTTCGAGACATTCGTCTTTGTTTGTTTGTCTTGCTTTGGCATTGTTGACTGAGATATTTCCCTTGCCACGTTTGCATCAATCGGTGATTGAGAAGTACCGTGGAGTGGAGCTTGAGGAGATCAGAAAACATTTGGATGGTGTCCTGTTCAAGGAAGCAGGAGCTGTGACCGGGGTGTTGTGCAGTCAGTATGCTTTAGCTGATGAAGAAAGTAAGAATGTGGTTGAGAATCTGATGTGGGAATACTGCCAGGATCTCTACTTTGGACATAGGCGATTGGTTGTGATGGTTAAGGGCAAGAAAGATGAGTTGATTGAGGGTTTGGAAAAAATTGCAGAATCTGCTTTCCTTATGGTTGTGGTATTCGCTTTGGCTGTGACAAAACACAAGTTGAACTCCAGTTTTGCGCAAGAAATACAGGTGGATGTCTCGTTGAAGATACTAGTTTCGTTTTCTTGCATGGAGTATTTTCGCCACGTCCGTTTGCCGGAGTATATGGAGAGCATTCGCAAGGTGGTTGCAGGTGTTAAGAATGAGCATGCCTGTACTTCTTTTGTGAACTCCATGCCCTCGTATGCTGACTTGACTAGTGGCCCAGGTTTGCATGTTAGTGTGAATTGATATTTTATTTGTTTATTTTATTGTTTTGCATATTATAAGACGCTACATGTCTTCTAGACCAGAAAAGCAATTACTTATGGTCCATGGATGAAGTGCAAACGGCTCGCATTTTGTTTTACCTACGAGTCATTCCAACTTTCGTTGAATGTTTGCCCAGTCTTGTGTTCAGAAACATCGTAGCTCCGATTATGTTCTTGTATCCTATATAAAATAAGTACATATTTGGTTTTTGCAGAAAATAGTTACTGCCAAATGTTCTCTCTACAGTAATTTGTTTATGATCTATTTTTGAACACTAGATGAGCTAACTTCAAACATGTATTTTGGGGTCCTTGGCCCCATTATCATGCATAGAAGTTTTCTTCCTTATTTAGCAAAACTAGATATATGGAGCACCCAAATGATAAAGTAGCTCTAGCTTCTCATTCTGTGTTCATGACATTTATGACTATGGGGAAGGATTCTGAAAAGAATGATAAAGCTTCATTGAAGGAGCAACTTGTTTTCCATTACATGCAAAGATCCTTATTGGTACTATATTCTGCTAAAAGATCTCAATCCTAAATCTGAGACTGATAATTTTGAATTCATTTTTATGTTATTGTGTTATGTGAACATAGGGATATCCTGGCATTACACCTTTTGAGGGTATGGCTTCTGGAGTTGTAGGATTGGTCCAACATGTTCCTGCTGGTAGCCCGGCCATCTTTTATTGCATTCATAGTCTTGTTGAAAAAGCCAACCAGCTCTGTTCTGAAGTATTCACTAACGAGGCTGATGCATGGAAGAAGTGGCAAGGAGAGCCAGAACCAAGCAAGAAATTAATGGACTTGCTTTTACGCCTAGTTTTCCTCATTGATATACAAGTAAGTTGTTAACTAATTACGTGACTTGCCACATTATTTAAAGTTATGCAATGTCGACCTTGCAAAACCCAAAATAATACATGTTTTCAAGTTGGGAGGCCCATTAAGTAATCTATTTGATGTGTAAGTTCTTAAAATTGTTGTTTTGAAAAACTTATCATTCTGCATGTATTAAATATTGCCTTTAAACTTGATCATGTAAACCTCTTTGACTACATTTTAGGTCTTGCCCGACTTGATGAAGCTATTGGCACAGCTGATCACAAAGTTACCACGAGATGCACAGAACATTGTTTTAAATGAATTATACTCACAAGTGGCTGATTCTGATGATGTTGTCCGCAAACCCACACTGGTTTCATGGCTGCAGTCGTTATCTTACCTTTGCACAAAGGCCACATATCAAAATTCAACCTACCAAAATATCGAAAGTGGAGATAGTCTTACTTTGGCCAGTATTGCAGACCCATTAAACAGTGGAAGAACAACTGCACGACTTTAAGTAACAGTTTAAGGTCTGTCTCTCCTTTTTTGTAGCATTACATAATGTTTTCTATGTTATTTTCTTTCCAATAAATTCTAGTTATGCCGAATCTTACTAATAGATCCTGTTACTGCATGCCATAACTTTTGAGCCAGTTTTTAACTTGCTGTATTTACCATTTCTCGTTTGCTGATTCACACTCTTTTGTTTGAATCTATCAATCTGTTCTGTAGTTTTAAAATTAGAATAGGGAGTGTTCAGAAAAGGTAATTTGAGGATGGAAGTAATTTTTTTAGGGCATTTAAAATAATTTGTCCCCAGATTGGATGATTGGGTCAATAAGTTAAAAAATTATGCAATATTTTAATAGGGTAGTAAGAAATTGAAATCCCACCTAAATAGGTTTAATTTTAGAAAGCCTCTGGTTTCTTTATCCACATTTCATTTTGTGCATTGGTTTGGGCTTATCTGCCTCCACAGCTTTTCATCCTCAACCTCCATTGCTTCCAAACCAAACCATTACTTCTATTCAACTTTTACAGGACCTGCTGACAACAAACTAATCTTGCTTACTCGAGTTACTGATTGGGGTTTGTTTCAAATCTCCTTTTTTTTTACTCATGATCCTGATTCGTTGGTACAAGCTTTTATATTTTCGATTCAATGATATTTTGGATCTTCTGGTGTTCTAGTTTTTCCTGTGATTTCAATGTTAGACCCTTCAATGTGTTATGACTCCTTGATTGTTTGAGCTTCAATAGATACAGCAAACCACTGGGTGAAAATTATGAGTTGTGATACAGGATAATACTATTAGTGGTATCTAGCTGTTGGAACTTTATTTTATGCCATTCAAAGTTTTTAGTGCCAGAACCAGATGCTTGTTTGATCAGCCTTTAAAGACCTGGGTCTAGGCAAGGAAAGGGATTTTTTTAATCAATGTTTTCTTCTCGCTGGGATAGAAAAAAAAAAAATGGCCGACACAATTCAAGATGTGAGCTAAATTTGAAGTCTGGTTTGTTGCTTGCCAATGTCTCTAAATTTCCTTCTTTGTTTTTACTAAAAATAAAGAAGTGCATACTAGGGTACAACCTTTTTGAAGGTTGTGATATGTTAGATATTGTTTGATATTGTTAAGATATTGTTAGATATTGTTAACCATAATATCAAACAATATCTTCTGTTTATTCTGTTTACTTTCGGTTACTCTTTTAGTTGTACCTCTCTCTATTATAAATAGATTACTGTATGTGTAGTTTATACACAAGGGAGATTAATGTTCTTGTTGTTTGTGACTCTCTAACTGTGTCTTCTTCACTATTAGTTCCTGCTCCGCAGTCAGCTTCTTTTCCACCGCCTCTTCAGGTTTATAGTTGTCGAAACCAATCACAACCACTACCATGTGACTCCACTCAAGTGTCAATTATTCTGTCTCCTTCGGATCTAACACTTGAGTTTGACCTTCCCATTACCCTCCTATATGTTCTACACGTACTCCCTCTTCCCAATATATTGCTTTGAGTTATCATCGACTGTCATTACCTTTTTATACATGTTTTTCTTTTATTTCTTCTGTGACCATTTCAAAAGTTGTCCGTGAAGCTTTAGCCCATCCTGGTTGGCGTCAGACCATGTTAGATGAATTAAGTGTGCTCTTCATAATAGTGGAACGTGGGAATTAGTCCCGTTATCGTGTACGAAATATGTTTTTGGTTGCAGGTGGGTGTTTGTTATCAAAGTTGGACCTGATAGTACTATTGATCGCCTCAAAGCTCGTCTTGTGATCGAAGGTTATACTCAAATTTTTGGATTGAATTATGGAGATACATTTTCCTCCGTGGCAAAGATGACTTCTGTTCGTTTATTTATCGTCATGACCGCTCTTCAACAATGGTCTATTTATCAACTGGATGTTAGAAATGCTTTTCTCAATGGTGATTTGCAAAAATAAATCTATATGAAGCAACCTTCTGGGTTTGTTGCTCAGGGGGAGTCTTTTGGGATGGTATGTCGTCTTCGCAAATCCCTATATGGCCTAAAACAATCTCCTAGGGCCTGGTTTGGAAAGTTTAACAAGGTTGTTCAACAATTTGGTATGTCTCGGTGTGAAGTAGATCATTCTATCTTTTATCGATACTCGAGTACTGGATGTGTTTACTTGATAATATATGTTGATGACATTGTTCTTACATGTAGTGATAACCATGACATCTTAGTTGAAACATCTCTGTCACCATTTTCAGACCAAAGATCTTGGCAAACTTAGATATTTCTTGGGTATTGAGGTGGCACAGTCCAATGATGGTATTGTTATATCTCAGAGAAAGTATGTCATGGATATTTTGGAGGAAACTGGGTTGATGAGTTCAAAGTCTATTGATACACCCATGGATTCCAATACTAAACTTCTACTAAATCAGGGGGAACCTATATCTGATCCTGAGCAGTATAGAAGATTGATTGGAAAATTAAATTATTTTACAATTACTTGTCCTGACATTTCTTTTGCAGTCAGTGTGATAAGTCAATTTCTTAATTCACCATGTGAAGATCATTGGAATACAGTCATTCGTATCTTGAAGTATATTAAAGGATCTCCTGAAAAAAAAATTGTTATATGGTTCTAATAACCATACAATAGTTTTTTGCTACTCAGATGCTGATTGGGCAGGATTTCCTTCAGATAGAAGATTTACATCGGGATATTGTGTCTCTATTGGTGGTAACTTGATCTCATAGAAAAGTAAGAAACAAAGTGTTGTGGCAAGATCCAGTGCAGAAGCAGAATATAAAGCTATGGTCTCAGTTGTCTGTGAACTTGTTTGGCTTAAGCAATTTCTTAGAGAGTTACAATTTGGACATGTCACTCAAATGACACTTGTGTGTAACAATCGGGCTGTTTTTCATATTAGTTTTAATCCTGTCTTTTATGAGAAAATCAAACACATTAAGATTGATTGTCATTTCATTTAATAAAAAATTATGTCTGGAGACATCAAGACGACTGAATTTGTTAACTCAAGTGATCAGTTAGCAGATATTTTCACTAAGTCTTTACGGGGTCTAAAATTGATTATATTTGTAACAAACTTGACACATACGATTTATATGCTCCAGCTTGAGGGGAGTGTTAGATATTATTTAGATATTGTTTGATATTGTTAGATATTATTAACCACAACATCAAACAACATTTTCGGTTTATTTTGTTTATTTTTTGTTACACTTTTAGTTGTACTTCTCTCTATTATAAATAAATTATCTTATGCTGTTTATTTTCGGTTACTCTTTTAGTTCTACATCACTCTATTATAAATAAATTAACTTATGTGTGGTTTATACATAAGGAAAATTAATTTCAAATCTTATTTCCTTTATATTAATATGATCAATAGTAAAGTATTTGGACATAGGTGGACATAGGTGGTTGTTTAAATTTATAGTAATCATTAATTTAAAATGAACTAAATAAAATTGCATTTAATGTGTTTTCCATGCAGATTTCAGTAGCGATTGAGAAGATTCTGAATGCTACTAGTTCAAAGGAATCGGCATTATATGAAGTTGAGGGTTGCCTTGACTAAACTATGAAGCTGAAAGTGAAGAGCTGATTTCTCCCACAAGTAGTTACTGGGAAGCCTGATTGACACCCCCAGAAGAGAAGCAGAAAGTGGAGGTTCTATGATCCATGCTGTGGCCATAAAGTGCCATAAAATGACAGGGTTGTTACTATGTGGAGCTCTTGTTTACCTCTGTAAACCTGGATGGATAATCAGATGATTCTGGCTGATCTTTCCTACAATAAAGCTCATCTCAGCGTCCTCTCACCTGTTCAAGAAGAATTTTTTCTGATGAACATTGCTCTAAACTGGATGCAGCGATTGCATTGGAGCCTCTGCTGTAGCTGAAAACCCTCTGATTACTCTTTGATGTGTGAAATAATACTGATTCATAATGACTCCGTTGTTTAGTCCAATTTTGGTTTGATGTGAAATCATCTTGAATTGAATTCGTCTGTAGATCTGCAAAGTCTGTGTCCCCCATACCCTGCATCTATACATCTGTTTCTGTGGCCCTTGTGTATAGAGTAATGATAGGATGATGACAATATTTGTACAAAACTTAATGACAGTTTGAAGTTCATATAGTTCGTGTAGTATTTGTACATGATGACAGGGGAATAGCTTCCGTTGCAGATTTTCAAAGTAGAAGTTTTTTTCCGTTGCAGACTTACACTGGAATTGCAGGTTGTCTATTATCGTGAATTTGGTCTTTTAACAAGAGATGTAAACCCATGTGGGCACAAGTTGGTCCTTCAATTATTATTTATTTACATAAATTTGGTCCTATCTAATGCAAAATAATTATTAATTTAAATTAGATTATAGACATTTCATCAATATCCCTATTAGGCTTGATGTGATATGGTGTGATTGGTAAAGAAAAGGAACAGGAGGGAAATATCATTTACTTTTAATCTTCTTTGCTGTCTAAAGAGAAGTCTTAATGAGCCATGATGTTAAAATTTCATGCATCTTCTTCTCTTTTTCTTAGCTATTTCTATTATAAATTCTCAAAGTATAAACGTGACTAAAAAAAAGACAAACCCATCAACTTTCTGGTACAAAATACCATTAAATACTTGTTTCACTGTTCAAGCTAAGTCGAGTTTGGGTCAACAAATTTGAAGGAAGGATCTTAATTTCACACTCAAGAACCCACCAAACCAATGAACAGATAATCTTTTTAAAGCGATGAATATAACACCAGATCTCTCGTGTTAAGAGATCTGTATAAAAAAGATTCTCCTCAATTTCTATATAAGAAAGAATTACGACAACATATTTGCACTTTGACATAATACCAAGTTACCAACAGTATCAAGCTTACATCATCACATTTTTTTCTCACACAACAACTTAATTATGTATACAATTTCTAGAAGATAACATTATATATTTATGAAGTGAACAAGAAAAAAAATATATTTATATACAAATCTTTTACTTATTTCTAGGTTGTGTTGGCGTATAACAAGTGGTGAAACCAAAGCCACCTCAAAAGCCTATCTTTATGCAATCCCTTGTGCATGCAGAGGATCCTCTTTCCCCAGATGCATTGCATGCCACACACCAATCTCTCCCGTTCAACTCTCAACAACACTTCTGATTTTTGTCTTCTCATATTTTCACAATATTCATGCATCCATACTCATATTTCTCTTCTCACACAACAAAATACACTTTCTTTGTTGCTTCCAAACATGGCAGTTTCATAATACGTCACTGAGCTGCGTTATACAACAATTTATTAAAAAAAATGAAAAAATTATATATAATGACTTTTTGAAATAAGCGTTTGTTTGGATAAAAAATACGTTATTAGAAGAAGAATCTTTCTAAAGGTATCAGATTTTCCAAAAAAAAAAAAACATATATGCCGAATTGATAATATATATAAAGATTGTTGTATGTTTTTTCAACCACTTTTTACTTAAATAATTGCTTTCATTTATTAATTTATTTATTTGTTCTTTGATTGAAGTATGCCATTGCTTTACATAAACTTGACTAGAAGGTTTACTTAACAATTTTTTGCGGAGATTTGAAGGGTTGTTTTAATTTTAAGTAAATTGAAACCATTATAGGAAAACAAGAAAGGATTTTTATTTTTTTTAAATCAAGGTTACCTAAAAATTTAAATGGTAATAATATATGTCAAGGAATTTTAGCAGCATTTATTAAAAATGAAGGTGTGTAAAATGGGTCTTAAAAAACAATTTTTTATTAAACACAAAAATATTGGTTTGGGAGATGGTTCATGGCATTTTGCTAGGTTTGCCTTTATTTTCATTGCATGTCCCACAAATTAAAAAAAACCCCAAATCCCACAAAATTTATTGAATTGAATAACTTTAAATGGTGGAAAGAGGGGGATTTTCAAAGTCTTGGTCCAAAAGGATCGGAAGAAAGAAGATAACAAGTAAAGCACAATTACATATGAAAGCAAAAACACAAAAGCAAGAAATTAGATCAAATGTGTAATTATTATGCTAATTAATCCAAACCCTAACTTGAATCCACAGTTCAGCGCCGTTTGCTTAGCGCAATTCGAGGCCCATTTGGGTTTAACCCTAAAAATGGCGCCATTCACGCCTCTTCTTTTCATGTAAATTTTGACAAGAAAGAGAGAATAAAAAACTATCGATTAAGCAATGAGAGGAATATTGGGGACTTTGTTTTTTAAAATTTTGTGTGATTGATTCAACTTTTTGAAACTGTTTCTCCCGAACAGGTTTTAGGGGCTCCAAATTTGAGCATGAGCTTATGACGTGAGGAACATAATGAGAGGATTAGGTCATGTGTGTTTTGAAAATTTGAAACCAATGGCCCTACAAACTCATGTTGAAGATGTCATATAATTGTTCCTTTTTTTTTAATGGCTTTTAAGTGAGTAAATATTATTCATCAGAATTGTTATTATTCTATTAAGTAAATATTTCTAGAAAAATAATATGTGACGTCTTATAACTGCTAATGTTTCTTTTAATAAAAAAAAAAGCTATATCATTTAACTTTTATATTTTAAAAAAATTAAATTTAATTGACTCATAAGATAAACTGTGATATTTTATTGAAAAAAAAACGTTAATAAAGACTGACTTTGAAAACAAGTACTAATTCTTATCCGTTTATTAATACCTCAATACAAATAAAGATTTAAATTCACAACATAGAAGAAATTTTGTTTTCATAACACCTTAAAAAAACATAAACATATAAGCATTGATGATCTGGGGATTGTTACACTACAAAAACCGTTTCAAACGTTGTCAATAGTAAATGTTGCAATAATAATGCATGCATGTTAAAATCTCCATGCAAAACATTTTTCAGATTCCCACTTGAAACGGTTGAGGAAGTCTATGAAACAGTGTACTACATTTGTTTTGTGTCCCTTTTGTTGGGTCTTTGAAAAGCCTTGATTTACGCCAAGTGATTGATTCTCCCAAGCATATTATAAAAAGGGTAGCACATAACTCATTTGCTTCAACCAACAAGTCATACACGAATTCCATAGCAAAGCACTTTTGGTGGTTCAACCAACAAAGTAGCAGAAAGTGATCATGGCAAATTCCTTGGTGTCTTTGTTCCTTTTCACATTCTTGTTGGTGGGCAGTGTCCAATGTAACCCTAACTACGGGGAAGCATTGGCCAAATCCTTGCTGTTCTTCCAAGGACAGAGGTCAGGAAGAGTTCCTGCTGACCAACAAATCAAATGGAGATCCAATTCTGGCCTCTTTGATGGTCGCCTTGCCAATGTAACAATCTCTTTTTTTCCTTCTTTTTCTTTCTGTCATTTTTTTTTCCCTTTCTGTTTTCATCAAGTGTCTGCTTGTTGGATGGATTCTAATAGTTTCTTTCTTCATTGTTGTTGTCATCACAATTAAAATTCATTCACCATAGCTTTTTTCTTTATCTTATGAGCAATGCATTTTGATACATTCAGCGTTTATATTTGTAGAAGTCTCCACTTTGTTTGCTTATTCTAACTATTGGTTATGCATGGCAGAACACCAGGTATCATCACAATGAATTTGTCTTGCTGTTTTTCTATTCATATGAAGTTCTAAAAATTGTCATGAAGGTTTCAATAAAAGGGTATCTCCTTGTTGATTTGGAACTCGGTTACTATGCTTTGATGCTAGTTACTTTAGTCTTTTCTTTTTGTTAGATTTTAATTAAGAATGTTGAGTCTATTTTATCACTATCATTGAATGGTTTAGAGTCAAATATTTCCTTGGAGTAAATTTTGATTGACAATTTTTTTTTCACGTCACTCTGTGTACTGTTATAGCATAATAGTAGCTACTACAATATAATGATTTGTTTTAAAAGAAAATGCTTACTTTGATCCATTTTTCACATAAATTTTCTTTAAACGCTTTTCTTTAAAAAAGTTGGACCAATCACGCTATAAGTCAACTGCTTTGATGATGCCGAAAATTCAGTAGCATTCTTTTTCATTTTTTTAATTATTATTATCTTGCAATACAATCATTCTCCTCACTCATGTCTTGGAATGCGTGACTCTGTTTGAGTTTTACTAGTTACAAAGTCCTTATCTACTAACTCTTTAAGTATAGTGTAAAGCAAGTTATAAAAAAGCAAGATGCTTGAATTAAATCAGTTTTAGTTAATTGGGTTGGAGATGTGCGCTTTTAAACAGAAAGAAAAATACCATCAGTTGCTGTCCGTTTTAATAATAAAAGAAACTGTATGATGAACATTGTGCTACTGTGTGTACTGGGGGTTACTTAGTTATCATTGTCTTGTTTAAGTATACTCAGAACCTGGTCTAATTATTTTAGAATACACTAATAATTGGAGTGATAAATATTGTCTTAATATTTGTATATGATTTTAGAACATAAAATTAGATAATAAACATTCAACAAATACATTCCGAGTCTTTATGAAAATAATCATCACTTTCATTTGATCCGGATGAACAAGGAAGTGTCTCTCACTCATATCCAAACTGTGTATGTATGACAGGTGGATCTAAGTGGAGGTTACTACGATGCAGGAGACAATGTGAAGTTCAACTTTCCAATGGCCTACACGACTACCATGCTGTCATGGGGCACAATTGAATATGGCAAGAGAATGGGACCCCAAATAAAAGAGGCAAGAGGTGCAATTCGTTGGGCGACAGACTACCTTCTCAAGTGTGCCACATCCACACCTGGCAGGCTCTATGTTGGGGTTGGAGACCCAAATGTGGACCACAAATGTTGGGAAAGGCCAGAGGACATGGACACTGTCAGGACTGTGTATTGGGTCTCTCCCAATAAGCCTGGCTCAGATGTTGCTGCAGAAACTGCTGCTGCACTAGCTGCTGCATCCATTGTTTTCAGAAGGGTTGACCCAACTTACTCTAAGGAGTTGTTAAGGACTGCCCAACAGGTCTACCACTTTGCTTTGCAGTACCAAGGTTCTTACAGTGATTCGCTTGGATCAGCAGTTTGCCCATTTTACTGCTCATATTCTGGTTTCAAGGTAAGACCATTTTCTAATTAGTTGCTTCTATGCTCCTTCCTACTATTTGTCCTTTCATTCAAATTTGAGGGATTGGCATGCATTATCAAGGGTTTAATTTCTGTACACTGTCAGTCTAAAGCATTTTACACAGTCACTCAATCAAAATCATTGTAGGTTTGACTTTTAAAGCGGTTACAGTTAAAGTTAACAAACTTCTAAAATAAAAAATTCTGAATGGAGGGCAATGTAAAAAACATTTTTACTGTCAGTGCATAAGACTAATTACATGGAAAATGATGTGGTCTTAATAAGCTTTGTGCATATTTTCAGGATGAATTATTGTGGGGAGCTGCATGGCTTTTCAGAGCAACAAATGCTGTTTACTACTATAATTTAGTGAAGTCCTTGGGAGCTGATGATCAACCAGATATCTTCAGCTGGGATAACAAATATGCCGGTGCTCATGTTCTTCTCTCCAGGGTATATCATATTGTTCATGTGATACCTTTGAAACATATCTACAATCAACTTGTTTGCATGATGTTAACTACTGATTTATGGGGTTTATTTTTTATTGTTACTGCAGAGAGCATTGCTGAATGGTGACAAAAATTTTGATCAATACAAGCAAGAAGCTGAGAATTTTATGTGCAAAATCCTGCCCAACTCTCCTTCCTCAAGTACACAATATACACAAGGTAAAGGCAACACCACTGAGTTTCGAAGAAGTAATGTTACACAGTTGGGTCAATCTAAGTAATTCATTATTAATAATATATAAGAAAATTCAAAAATGCAATTCTGAAATACTTTTGTGGGCAGGGGGACTCATGTACAAACTTCCTGAGAGCAACCTCCAGTATGTGACATCTATAACATTTTTGCTTACAACCTATTCAAAGTACATGTCGGCTACACAGCACACATTTAACTGCGGCAATGTCTTGGTCACTCCAAATACCTTAAGAAGCGTAGCAAAAAGACAGGTAATTCTCATTAATTCACAAACCTCTGTAAGGTCAATATTCACTTTTTTGCCTATTCCATTGTTGACAAAATTTATTGTAAAATTTCAGGTAGACTACATATTAGGTGAAAACCCATTAAGAATGTCCTACATGGTAGGCTATGGTCCATATTTTCCCAAGAGAATTCACCACAGAGGATCTTCCTTACCTTCAATAGCAGCTCATCCACAAACCATAGGTTGTGATGGAGGTTTCCAACCATTCTTCCACTCAATGAATCCTAATCCTAATATATTGATTGGAGCGATAGTTGGAGGTCCAAACCAAAATGATGGATTTCCAGATGACCGCAGCGATTACAGTCATTCTGAGCCTGCCACTTACATCAATGGTGCTTTTGTTGGACCTTTGGCATACTTTGCCGGTATTCATAATGTTTGATTGACCCATATTGGAAGGTCAAGTAGGACTTGGTTATCAAGTGTAGATGTAATCCTATCTGCACCCAACAAGGGGAGGTCTACCAACCAGCATAAGTTGGAGTGGACTTTGAAGTTAGTGGTGTTCATTTCTAGCCCTTTGACACAAAAATGTACCTTGTAGTAATCATTATCCAATATATTTACCATCCTTTATGCTACATAGTGCATCACAGAACCTAAAATATTTAAGTCATGACATGCTTATCCAACCACTCTATCCTTGGGTCTATCTCTTTCATGGTAATATTTGCAATTCTGAAATCAGATCCTTTTAAGGAACATTATGCAAAGTTGATAACAGTCACTAAAAAAGAAATAATAAATTTAAACATGAAGCACCAAGTTAACATTTAACAACAGTTAATGACAAAAGAAATTACAATTTTCTATGTACAGGCTTAGCAAAATAATGTATTTATGAGAACTCAACTCACTGCTAAATTTGAGGACAAGCAAGCAACATATTTTCTACCAGAGTTAACACAATGATTAAAATTGATTGAAAACTATAAAATCATGAGTGAGGATTTTGGGTCCTCTAAATTCACGGGTGCACTCTAGATGATAAAGTGCACCTTACAATAACTTAATAGAAAATCAATGGTTTAAAATTGTGATAAAATGAAAATAAAAATTAAATATAATCACAATGATTGATTTTCTAATTAATAGTCATCATTGCACTTTATCCTCTTAAGTATATTTCCTCACTTCTACAGGAAATTCCTTCATTTTAGAGTGGTCAAATCAGGTGTTGAGTTCAATAGACAAGTGAGACCCACAACATTGTGTGATTTTAAATAAATTTCAGTTAATAGGATTGAATGTGTTCAAAAGAGTGCATTGCAAGCATTTCTCTACTGATTTCCTAATCAACAACTACCAGAAAAAATGCATCAAGCACACTGTAGATGTGCTTAGTTAATTTTACTATTTTAACCTATATACCTTATTTCATTATTAAAACAAATTTATATTATTATATAAAATTTAGACTAAACACGGAATAATTTTTCCAAGAAAACTTGCAAACAACATTCAGTTCATTGAAAATTTGGAATAATCTGCAAATGTTTCTCTTGGTAAGAAATACTCGCTTCAGAATTGGTAACAAATTTTGACAGCTTGTATGGGTTTTTTTATGAAAAAGATAAAAAAAAAAAAAAAAGTCTTACAAAGTTTGCCCGAAATGGTTTTTAGTGTGCTTCATCTGTTTTTACTTTTGCCCATCTGAACACAATTTTAATCGACAAATTGTTCCCTGTCTAAAAAAAGGTCAACCAAACATCTCCTGAGATCATCACTGTTAATTAAATCTAAAATCATATGTTCCTCGCTCCATAAAATCAATAGTAAATAAATTATAAAATATTATTCTACAAAGGGCTATATTTTGGATAGTAACATAGCTAGCTCCTCATCAGACACTTTAACTTCAACATATGATCCCAAAGATGCAGCAAGTCTTGCAGCTATTTGATGTTTACACTGGAACACCCGTACAATGCACGTTTTATATTTGAGCATTAGAATAATATTAATGTTTATAATCAACTGAAGATAATGAAACATGGATATGGCCTTACACAAAGCTGTTCCCCTTTGTTGACAACATCATAGAAGAAAGAATAGCAACCACAAAAGTTCTCAGCAAAACAGAGATATTGGTCTTTTCTGCGGGATTCCCCAGTAACCTAAACAAGGGGAGAGCAAATGCATGATATACATCAAAGAAATGAATGATTCTTTAGATTAAAAAATGTCAAAACATTCATTATTTGACATCAAATAATTGACACGATCCAATTATCTCTATCTTTTACTTGTGCCACTTTAGTTGTACAACAACTATTTAGTCTCAATAATATACCTTACATACTTTCATATTTCTATCTTCCCTTATAATAACATTACTCATCAGATTTGTCATTCTTTTTTTTCTTATCTCTCTCTTTCCTGCTAGCCTGTGGAGTGTGAAAACACTTGTTTCATATACCTGAATTTTAAGCAAAAGTTCACCTATTCAATGCAAGGGAAGAGAGGTGGGAAGGTGAAACCTGAAAGATAAACCTTCCACTGGGGTGAGCAGATATCTTGCTGACACCTCTTTGGTCAACAATTCTAGTGGCTCCCTCGAAGTTCTTGCCAAACAAGAAATGCAAACTGGTTTCATCTTGCATGGAGACCAAAATACAACTTCAATTGAAACACAACGCAGGACAATAATGATTTGAAAACAATACAAGGGAATGGGAAGCAATTGACTAACGTCCAAAGTTGATCATCATTCACTGCAATACGAAAATAAGAGGATCATCCACTGGAACATGAAAATAAGAGGGTCTTGGGTCACAAGTCATTAATTCAAAACAAGGTTTTAAAACACCGTCCACAACCATGATTACAAATTTACAGCCACAACTGACAAGCACCCAAACCCATGCTTAAAAACTAGTTATTAAGAGAGGAGAATTAAGTACTTTAAAATTCCACAGGCATCTCGCACTATTCAATGGAGGAATTAGACATTTCATAATACCCAAAATCCCATCATGGCACTACCCTTAAGAATCATCTTTCTACGACTTCGACTATACAACATTTTACAAAGTGACCCTTATTCAATTTTCTCGTTGGTCAGAACCCTCCACCGATTAGAACTCTCGGTAGATAGCCCTTTCCAAAACAGTAACAACCAGTCCAGATACCAATTGATAAAGACTCAAATACTAGGGAAAAATTTGATAAGATTGTAACTGCAATTTTGCTCCTCTATTTTCTATGATATGAAGGGTTGCTACGAAACCACTACCACAACCACAATTGTACCAACAAGGGCAAGCTTTATTAGGTTTTCACCACCACATTGAGACTGCTATAGCACAATTTCGTGTAATATTAAGGATTGCTAATCCACAACCACAATTAAAAACCTTGAATGAAAGCATAAAAGGTAATGAAATTTGCTACCAAGATTGAAACCTGTGTGTGTAGACTCGATTTCCTTCCATATTGCCTCTGCTACCAAGAAGCTTGCCCTCATTCTGAATTACAAAATATTAATTACTGAAAACATACCAATTTGTGATTTTCAGTAATCAATCAAAATATAACAACAAAACAAAATGGTATTAGTTTGATTATTACAAGTGATTGATGAATAAAAGCAAATGAGAAATCTTACCTTAGCAATGAAACAACAAACCAACGAAACCAAGCCCTTTCTCTTCCTTACTTCGTCCCATCCAACTAAATCATGCGACACTCTCATTGCAGACTTTGATTTTAAGAGATTTTTGGTCTGTCTCAAGAAAACGAAGTCGAATTTTCCATGTCAGAAAGAAGGCAACGGAAATAAAAGCAGGAACACTGTTGGGCCTCAGGCCCACACTTCCAACAAGTTATTTGGGTTTTTCAACACTATTTGGGCTTTCAAAGTACGAAAATTATAAGGCACTTTCTTCCGGCGCTCCCATAATTTCTCCCTACACCTCCGAACCCAAGTAAAGTAATTAAAATACCCTTTTAATAATATTTGTCTTAAATCTTAACCCTTCTTCTATTTTCGTGCAAAAATTCTACACCTTTATAATAAATATGCATATTTGGTTTATTGAGCTATCACATCCATTTAACATTATTTTTAACATTTAAAAATGAGTATTTATTAATATTACATATCTATTACATATTCTTACACTAAAATTGAACATTGAAATCTAGACGGTTCGATTTGGAAAAATTTTGCAAAAATCAGACTGAATTTTGTAATACCTAATCTAGAATACATTTTTGAATTAGCTTTCTAGAAATCCATAAAACCCATTCCAAAAAAGTCAATCTGAATTTTTATTTTAAATTTGGTGTCCAGAATGCATTTCTGATAAACCAATTCAGAAAATATATTTTAAAAAGAAAATCCGAAAACATGTTGTGGAAAGTAGATTCTAGATTATATTTTTAGAATTAATTTTTCAAAAATACATTTTAGATTGGTGGGTACAAAATACATTTATGAACTACATTTCTAAAATCCACTGTTGCAAATTTGTTTGTTCGAAATTGTATTCCAAATCTCCGGAACATGTTTCTAACAAAAAAATGTTATTGTAAGAATACATAATAAAAAATTGATACAAATTAAAAATTGTTAGATATTCTATTTTTTGCAATTCTTGAAATAATAAAAGGAAGATTAAAAATGTTTTAACAAGATTTAAAAATTAAATATTCAAATACTTAAAGAACAAAAAGTAAACACTTATGAAAATAAAAATAAGTATAAGTATAAAATAAGATTTGATTGAATTAGGAAGATAGAGAAATAAATTATGGAGTTGCAGAAAAAAATATCAAATTATAATTCACATTTTTCACTGTAGCTAATCTATATCTTTTTTTTATTATTATTTCCAAAAAATATTTATGATAGATTAAAATTTCAAACATTGGATTTTCTATTATTACTTTATATATATATATATATATATATATATATATATATATATATTATCAGTTTATAAACTAGAAAATATAATAAAATATTATGCAATAAAAAAATATCATAAAAAACATAAAATTATTAAAAATGAAAATAAGTTGAAAATAAAAAAAAACTTGAAATTTTTAATTCTAAAATATATTGATATACGTAAAAAAAAGTTTATCATTTTATTAAATAAACATACATACGGTGATCAAATTAATTACCTTTCTAATAGTTTAAATTTAAAGTATAAAATGACAATTAACCAAATATTTTTAAATTAATTTAATTCCATTATTAACAACGTATTGATTAAGAAGGTTTGGTTCAGAGTTTGGAAGGAAATACTATCTCAAAATTTCTTATATTGCTAATAATTATTTTTGACAATAAATAGTTTATATTTAATACACATTTCTTATTGTTAATTAAATTTTATTTAAATAAAGAAACGATGAAAGAAGATCATCATATAAGTTAAATTTAATGAAGTTAAATATTTTTAAGATCATCACCGACCAACCATACATAATAAAAAAATATCTATAAAGTTAAATGCAGTGTACAAAATCTAAATCGAAGCATTTTTTTTTCTATAAGAATGAAAATCTATAATAAATTTTGTATTAATTATTTTTACATTAGAAATATTATTATTAATACAGAGAGTATATTTTCCAATGTTCAGAAGAGAGACAAGATTATTAATGATAATAATAGTTTTAAAAATATTTAGGATAAATTTAGTATTATTAACTAAATTAGTCATTTTTTAAATAAATTAAATACTTAGTTTTTTAAAAACAGTAAGAGTGTAAAATTTTAGTGATAAAAATGTACTAAATCTGACTCTGTTTTTTTTTTTTAAGTAGAATGAGTTTTCACAAAGTATTAAAGAAATCATTAATTAAAAATCATGGCCAGATTGATCCAGTAAAACAAATGATAATTTTTTTTAATTGAAGTTTTAATTATTATTAAAGTTTTGAATGAATGAAATCCAAATGGAAAAAAGAATATGAATATCAGTCATTGCCAGCTACCAATATAAGCTTCAAAGCAGAACCAAAGAGCAAAAAACATTGCATGTTAGATTCACATAATACACGGTTTGTGCCCGTGGCATTTTCGTCTTTCTGTCTTTTTCTCACTGTTCTTCTTCCTTCTTTCTTCCCTTTCTCTCACTTCTCTTATGAATCAATCTCTCATCCCCAACAACCACACATGCATCACCATGAGGTATGTTCTTTCCATGCTTTTCATTTTGGACAAGATTAAAATTCTGAAACACTTAATCAGACTAAGCCAGAAAAAAAAAAAAAAACATGATGATACTGATTGGAATTTAGTGCTAGTTCAGCTTGACTTGTGACCCTATTTTCGAGTAAATGAAAAGGGTAGTCTTCTTATTATTGTTATTGTTTTAAAAACTTCACCTTGCTTGTTTTGTGGATCTTTTACTTCAGTTGAAGATTTTGAATTTTTTTTTCTTCAACCACTTTTCAGCTGTTGTTCTGGGTGAATGCTGCTACCCTCTAAGGTATTAAATCTCTGTATTTGTCAAAATAGATTTAAAGTTTCTATCCTTTTATTTTTCTTTTTGGATTGTTGGTATAGAAGATTTTGTGATCTGGGGGTTTGGTTATCTTTTTCGGTTCACAGATTTAATGGGGTCAGGTTATCTGAGAATTTAAGATGGGAATGTTTTGTTTTTTTTATTTGCATGTTCTTAACGTTATTGCTTTACCAACGTATGTGTTGTCTATGTGACTAATCAGGTCCTGAAGGTCTGGTTTGGTATTCCCTACAGGCTACAGGTTTTTTACTGTATAGCTGGAGAGTTCCTTGCACTTTTCTTTGCTTTTGCCTCTTTCTTCGAGGTTTTATCGGGTTATTCCTTTGCCAAATTTGATTGCTTATGTTCTTAAGTTGGGATGAAACACGAAGACTTCGGTTTGATTTCACAATAAAGGAATATCGGTGTTCAGCAATGTGAAGTTAGCATTTTAGATTCAAAATAAAGATATGAAAAATTGGTGATTTGTTGGCCTGGTATTGTGGAGGAGTTTGGTTGCAATCTGATTAGGCATATTGTTTACTGATTTTATCATGGATTCAATTCAAAATAAAGTTTATTACTGTTGTGTTTCTAAGGGTAACAACATCCTCTATGTGTATAGTGGTGGAGACCAAGAAGTTGAGAATGTTGCAGCCTTGTGCTTGGAGAGTGCTCCTCCTTTCCACAGGTGGTATTTTGAGACAGTAGGTAAAAGGACTTATGGGTTTTATATGGAAGATGGGTATGTTTACTTCACAATTGTTGATAAAGGTCTTGGTAACTTGTTAGTTCTTCGGTTTCTAGAGCATGTTAGAGATGAATTTAAAAAGCTGGCTAGAAAAGGTTCAAGAGGAATTTTGCCAAACATGAATGCAATTCACATTCAGGAAAAATTGGTTCCTGTCATTCGCAGTCTGATCACTTCATTGGAGAGTGTTTCACATGGTAGTAATAATTGGAGAGATGACGCGTCCATGTCTTTTCAAGTGGATCTTTCTCCATCACCAAGTAATTTGAATGGACAAATCGAAGTTGCTAGTTCAACCAAAGCCCCGTTATTGGGAAAATCTAACAAGCCAGACAAGAAGAAAGTAAAGGATCATGTGATTACCATGAGAGATGTCGAGTTGGAGGAGCATCGGAAATCTACAGATAGAGGAGCAAGGGCTGATTCAAGCAATCTGGATAGTGTAAGCCAAGGTGGTGCCGGTTCATCAGTCTCTTTGCAAAAGGATATGGGTTCAATGAGAATGAGTTCAGCCCCTCAAAATATTCGTAAGAAATGGTGGCGCCAAGTACGAATTGTTCTAGCTATTGATGCAGCTGTGTGTATAATATTATTTGTCATTTGGTTAGTAATATGCCATGGTATATCCTGTGTTCGATAGAATTCGAACTTCTTGTGTGACTGAATTATTGAATCACTATCATATTGGAACTTGAGATTTTCCGGGCATGATCTGATCATCGACAGAAATTGGCTTCTTCAATTGGGCACGCATATGGTAGTTACATACTCGTCATGTTGATTAGATCAATAGTGTTATTTGCAGGCACGTGCTTCTTGTCACCCATATATAGCCATTTTAATTTATCAAGTCTACTGTACAGTTTCATTACTTTTAATCATCTGTACTTGTATATGAATTTTGCGAGGATTTTAAAGGGTCTTGATTCGCCTGTTTCTACAGATTTTTTTTTTCCTAAATAGAAAATTAGCTCCTAATATAGAGATGGCCAATAGTCTCAAATCTCAAGTTGGATATGCAGAATTCTTTACATACGTTTAGACCACCTTTTTATAGCTTAGATATTGTTGCTAACTTGCTCATAAAAAATATATATTCTTTTAAGGTATATGTCTAAATCAGTAATTGAGTTTGGAGAACCAAAAGCCATAAATTAGGAGTTAAAGAAAGTATATAGAATTATAGATCATTAAGTATGTCATAGATATGTAGCTGATGTTGCGAACAAAGAAATTATTCAGGATAGCATGTTCCACTTCAGTTAGTGGATTCTATTATGTAAGTTTAGTGAAGAGTGTCTTTGAAAATGGATTAGGAAATGTGTTACTAACATTTCTCCTCTGCAACAACAACAAAAAAACTTGAGTAGAAAGAGCCGCCAATGGTTTATCTATCCACTATGTAAGCACCTCCTCCATTAAAGGCATATGAAATGTGCTTAGCAGTTAACTGTGACGTACAAATAATTTAAGACATTTAGCTTGAACTAGGAGCATGATTTAGAATTTTCGCACTACTGGCACCTAGGCATGGATATCCAAGTTGTTGTGGTGTATAAGAGCAATGACAAATGTCACCCCAAAATGGCCTGGATTGGGGTGGAAAAAAGGGTGATAGGGAGAAAAAACAAAGGTAGAGAGAGAAAGTGATTGCTGATGTTATGAAAAAAGATGGAATAGATGAGAAAAGAATGTGGTCAATGTGTGATGGAAGACAGTGTATTTTGAGTATTTTCCCATTTATTCTGATTGAGGTTGTCATTGTCTTCCTATTGAAATCCAGGCTAGTTTAGCAAAGGGAAGAGTAAGTTTGAGTTCAACCTTCGAACTTTTGCAGTTGGTGCAAATCTTTGCAGCATGAAACAAAGGAATGAATATATGCTATTAACAACCTTGCAGTTAAGGTTAGTAAAAGGCTAAAGACAACTGCATTTTAAATCCTAAAGAATACTTAAAGCATTGTATGTTAGGTATCTTTGAAACCTCAACCCAAAATAAAAAAAAAATGGACAATTGGTTGATCAACATTCAAAATAATGCTGCTCCCTTTTTTCTTTACTCACGCACTACTTTTGTTGCCCCTTCGTTGTAGTTGAAGTGGATCAACTTTGCTTGTTTAGTCAGAAGTTTATTATACTTTCCCCAGAGCTAAACCTTTATTGATGACATTAACTTGTTGCTCGTGCCATTATCCTTCATTTGATTGATTCTTGAAGATAATATAACATAGGTGGCTCTTGATTTGAAATTCTTTGGATTTAATCACATAGCAGGAATTTCAACTCAATAACCTACTTGTACCACTGTAGTGAAATGTTTCTTTATTTCTCTTGATCTTTACATGGTTGTTCTTGCCTCTTACTACTCTGTAGTAAAACGTTTCCATGTAAAAATAAATCAATAAAGTTGGTATCAATTCTAGGAATACCCCATAGACTGGATAAAAAATTACTACATAAAGTTGAACCGATTTGTTGAAATATTTGATTGGTATTGTCCATATATATACATTGAACATGTCATGTATGCAAATGGCACAAGGACAATTTATAGGATGGATCAAACATTTTACATTTACAATTTTTGTTTCCGTTTTTTCAGAAGAAACTATTGTCCTGTCGTGGTCAAATATGTCAGCAAAACGCTACTCTTGTGTAACTCTCTTTTCTCTTAGCAAATTTGGTTATATTATATGCCTATGAAGAAGTCGCATTACTTCTCTGAACTTTGAATTACAAGTTAAAATATTTTTTGTGTGTTTTTGATGGCTTGTTATGTCACGTAAGAATGATTCAAAGATTCAGAAATTTCAAGTCTGTGACCAGTCAGAGAACAAATATTATCTTTTTCATTATCATGACATCGATAAATTGACTTGGTTCATAAAAACTCAAGGATAGTGTCATGTACTGAGTTGAGGTGTCCACCTAAAATGTACTTTTATCTCAGTTTTGTTATCTTGTGTCAACGATTATTTTGTTTCAAAGAACTCAAATCCAAAATTCAAACCTCTCCTGGAGAGATCAAGTATCACTCAAACCAACAATTGGTTGGTGACTTTGTTTGAAAAATTTACTCAAAACTCACCAAAATCTTCTTAAATGAAAACACCCTTAAATGTATTAGTAACAATTGTATAGATGTTGTAGAAACAGAGTTTGGAATGCAAAATGTCTGTGTTGTCCATATTTGATCATACTTTATATTTTTTTATAATCTTTGAAATATTCTTTTCTGTTTTAAATGAATTGGATGAAATGTCTTTAGAAAATTGATTTTCTTGACTGGTTCTCTCTGAAGGCCAAGTCAACTTGCAGATATTGGTTTATGCTTACTATTGGTTTTACCTTTTCCATGTTGGGTTGATTGCACCAAGAACCAATGCAATTGCTAAGATACCTGTCACATATAACAAATTAGGTATTCAATGTTGGTGAAATTATATATACATGGATAAATAATTCTTCTCTCACTATAGTAAATATATTAAATATTTTTCTAAAATGACTTGAACAAACTTAGTTTAAATAAAAATAGTTGTGCTCTCTACAAAATTAAAGGATTGAGATTTGGACTGTGAATGATGAACTTTGAATCCATTTTATATGGTTTATCTAAGCAAATTCATCAGGGTTAATAATAATAATAATAATAATAACTATTCATTTCAATAAGTATGAGTCTCACATCAGACACACTCAGTGATGATAGGTTTTGGTTAATAGAATATGCACTGTTCATTTACCTGTGTGAATAGCTTTGTGTAGAAAATAACACCTTTCTCAACAAACTTTTAAAAAAAGTATAAATAAAGAATAGATTTTCAGTTTTTTGTTAAATTTATTATTATACTATATATAAGTTTTGATATGTTAATTTTAGGACATTTCCTTCTTTTTATTCCAAATAAAAAAAATATCCAATAATACATTTAACATATATCACTTTATAAGTTTAAGAAAGGAAAATTGTCCAAAAATTGCTTCAAAAGGCATTGAACTTAGTATTGTGTAATATTAGAAATGTTTTAGTTTCATGTGTTAAATTTTCATATATAAAGCAGGAAAAATAAGTTGTGAGCAGTGGTTTTTATAATTAGCAGAGTTGCAAAGTGAAAACGATGATCATGCAAAACTGAAACAAATTTATATTTTTCCCCTCTGATTGAAATGAGGAACTTTGTCTGTTGTTGTTGGTTGAGGTGTCGGGATGAATGAAAAAGAGAAAACAAGTATGAGACGTGGACTTGGTCCCCTCCAAATATGTAATGAGAAGTGAGACTTCCAAATTCCATAACAACTCCCATATCGAACCTCATTCTCATTTCCATCATAATTTATATTATAAATGTTAGATCATGGAGTTATAATTAGGGCCACCTCATGCATTCTCATGAGATGATTAGAACAAGCATGTTTTGGTTAATCCTTGTTAATTATTTGATTTCTTCTTCTTCTTAATCAAAATAAAAAAAAAAAAAGTTTTTTTTTTTCATTATTGGGTGTGGTAATTTTGTTTGATCCAGCTATCTATAGCTTTCTTTGTGGGTGGTTGGTCTTATTTACTTGCAATGCATCATTATTACACATTCAAGTAAAAGCATATTAAAGGATTCTTTTTTCTTGCATTCGCATGATGGGGACAAAAGTTCAGAACATTTTTCTTCACAATGCAACAAGTGGCGAACAAGGGCTAAAATTTTGCTAAATTCTCGTGTGTTGTGTGACCTTTACATCACATGCCCTTCTCCTTTTTCATTAATGAACTTTTATTTCAAGGGCTAACCAACCTTTCCTAGAGAGACACATAAACATGGTAGCTCTTGTGAGTGCCAATTCCACGTGATATCTTTCATAATTTACTCCATCAAACAACCCCATTTTGTTTAACATGTTCCTTTCTTGCATTGGGATAGAGATCCATTCAAACTTTTATCCTAAACCCTACATCATATATCATCAACTTATAATAAAGTTTATTGGAAAGTAGTACATAAACAATAACAAAAATCCAAACAAATATTTCTTTTAATATATTTCTCATAAAATATATTTTTTTTAAATATTGGTTCTTCAAAATTCTTATAATTTTGTAGTGTCCAATAGGCGATCCAATAGATTTGCGAAATTCCTCTCAAAAATAAGATTCCAAAAATCTCACTTAAAATCAGTTTATGGTTTAAAAACTCCCGTAATAAGAATTAAGTTATTAATAAATATAATAAAAGAATAATGGATTTATACAGAAATTCCAAAACCAAATAATTAATCATATTCCTAATGATTTTAAACAACAAGATTTATTTTTAAATTCAAACAAATTCATACATGTGACCCTATGTTGGATATATACAGAGAGAGGAATAATTGTTAAGAAAAAGCTAATTTTTGAAGAATAGTTTGGAGAGATAAATCTCCAAGTTTTAGCATAAAAGAAAGATAGCTTTAGTAAAAGAAAGTCATGCAATTGCTCCCTATATTCAAACAACCCATGCAATTTTGTTCCTATGAATTGTCCAAGTTATTAGAAAAAAATTTGCACCAGATCCTAGGAGACAATTGGTCCACCACTTCCTACAAATTGAACACCAAAAGGCTACTAGGTCAAGCATAAGGGACCATGTACTTAAAAGAGGGACCA